TTCATAACATACATGGCTTGATTATGCTGCCTTCAGGGTTGAGACCCTCAAGTTACACGATGTGTTCAAAAACTCCGAATGCCAGTCATAACAGACGTTCAAGAACCAAATCGTGACATACATCATTTACGAATAAGATCAATAATAATGGTCTGGAATCAACTGGGGCTGGTAACCTGTGGATATATCTCTAGAGTCTAGACTGTCACCCTTAAAGAAATAAAAAAATAAAAAAAATGAAGCTGTGATGATTCCCAAGCATCACAGAAAGCTAAAGTCAGGACTCCTGAGGTTGTGCTTTGTGCCTTGAACGAGCTACATTTGGCCCATAACAGAATGTGCCGGCATCAGAATGGTAAAAGTACTAAAAACTGAATGGCACATGTGTTGGTGGCAAGGACTAAACGCCACAATGCAGGGACAGATAATTATGAGCAGAAAACAGATAGTTTAAGTCGTACTTGCAACTGCACCGTGCGCCGCATGGCGTGTGCCACAGCACCTGCCAGTGCGCTGCACGGCATGCGGCACGATACTTGCTCATGCACCATACCACCACGGTCCACCAGCAGTTCCTTTTTTTTTTTTTTTTTTTCGTAGATACAGAAGATTGCATCACCTAAGGAACAGATACTTTCAAGTTTCAAGTACAATCGTCAAGATTTTTCTTTTTGTCCAATTGGGCATGAGAAATATCCTCAAATAGGTCTCTGGGGCACCAGTCTTGACCATCAAGTGGCGACATTACTCTCCCACTAACTTATTTTTTATTTGTTTTTCATCCACGACAATTTTTCAAAAGGGGCACAGGTGACGACTGATCCAGACCTACGATCCCTTTCTTTTCTGGGTGCCTATTTCTCCTGTGCGCGCACAGCAATCACAGTGTGTTTTATTTATTATTCATGTAATTTTCATCAAGTTAATTGCAGATTTGTCGTATCTAGATTCTAGAGTCTTTCTGCTGTGCTCTTTGTTTTTCTCTCTTTTTCAGTTTCTTTTTGTTCAAACCTTCTGCGCCGATGAATATCATTTTGTCACACGGAGGAGTCTGTGTTTTGATAACACCAGTGTGGATGTGCTCGCGTGCCGTATGTGCACAATTTTCTGCATGGCGTGCGCTTGGATGTATGGTTTAAACCACCAGTACTTGGCCCAGCTATAGGCCGCGGCGCTTCCCCGTTAACACGCCACGCCTTTAGGGCTTCGGGGTACCGGACCACAATGGTTGGAAGCACCAGCCAAAAAAAACTCGAAACGGTACCCCGGCGCTTCGGCAAAAAATGGCACGCAGGGCCATTCCAGGCTCGGCATCAATAGCTGGGCCAAGTACTGGTGGTTTAAGTGCAAGTGTTTTGAGCTCTAGGGCACCATACACGAAGGGCCTTCACACAAGCCACAGTCACCCAAAACCTAAGATGCCCATCTATCTGTACTGCTCCTTGCACCGCTTGTGGGCAAAGGGTCACAAGCAGTTGAAATATTGTCCGAGCTGAAAAAGTGTTGAATTTACCAGCAAATGGAGATGGCATTGGGGAATAGGCCAAACCTAATATGGGCACTCTGTAAGTAGGAACAGTATGTAAGTAGTAGAATCTCACCCCCAAAACTGTGAATTCTATGAATTTATGGTAGCAATTTCAGAGGGGCCTGGAACAAGCCGCATCTAATATGGGCACTCCGCCATCCGTACCACAACATGTGCAGTATGATAGGTCACTAACGTCACCCAATCTCAATCATGAAGTTGTGTGGCAAGGTGCCTGAATCATGCAACCACTGCCAGACACTTTATGGCACACCATATGAACTCCAGAGAACGCACTCCCCCATGACAGTGGAACGTCGCAGGTCCATTCCAGGTCCCTATGACAGTATGCAAATCTTATTTGTGCCTTAACTTCTGCTTGCTAGTGCCTCAAATGACTAGCACACAAAAGACGTGAAGAAACTACTGCTTTGAAGACCATCCTTCCCAAGCCGGCTGGCGTGGACGGCCTCAGCGTGTGTCCTTGAGGGCAGCTGGAAGAAAATTGGAGTGTCGCATGTTGCCTGGGGGAGTATATATCCCTGCAGTGTTGCACATACCAGCCATGACATCATCCGCACTTCAGTCGGAGATGACAAGCTAAGAGAGTCAGTGATTGTTTTCCGCAGTGCTGGCAATCAGTTGACGTCCACCCCAGTCGCTTCTACTCCGTGTAGTACAACTGGCCAAAGGAACTGTTCTCGCTCTATTGGCTGCACGTTTCCTTCACGGCAGACCTAGAAGCCATAGACAGTCAGCATATTGTGGCCAGATTCCATGGCGGTCCTCAGGAGGCACGCCACTGGCCAGGCCAGATTGGCAGGACCAGCTAGAGGATGCGTTGGAGTGATTCTGCTTGCTTTGGTCATTCAGTCTCTTGCAATCCGTACTGGTGAGGGCGAATCTGTGTCCAAGACAGCTACGGCTCAGACTGCAGAAACAAAGATTGACACCAGTAGCAGACATCTCGGAGACAATTACAAGACGTACGATGACAAGAACTACGATGAAAAGAAGAACGACATGAAGAAGCAGGATGAGAAGAAGTACGGCAATGAGTTCGACAATAAGTACGACAATAAGCATGACAATACATATGACAAGAAGTTTGATGACAAGAAGTACGATGAGAAGAGGTACGACAATAAGTATGACAATACATATGACAAGAAGTATGATGACAAGAAGAACGATGAGAAGAAGTACGATGAGGAGAAGTACGATGAGAAGAAGAACGACATGAAGAAGCAGGATGAGAAGAAGTATGACAACGAGTTCGACAATAAGTACGACAATAAGTATGACAATAAATATGACAATAAGTATGATGACAAGAAGTATAATGAGAAGAAGTACAATGAGAAGAAGTCCGACGAGAAGAAGTATGATGAGAAGAAGTATGACATGAAGCACGACGAGAAGTACAAAAATGATTACGAATATGACTATGACGCTAACTTCGACTGTCAGAAGTACTTTGACGATAACTACAAATATATGTACGGCAATGAGTACAGCAACAAGTACAACAATGACTATGAGAACTATGGCGTGAAGTACGGCAATAAGTATGACAACTACGGCATGTACGGCAACAAGTATGACAACTATGGCATGAAGTACGGCAATAAGTATGGCAATAAGTACGAAAGCAGGTATAACTACAACAACAAGTACGACAATAAGTACAACAACAAGTTCGACAACAAGTTCGGCAACAAGTTCGACAACAAGTTCGACAACAAGTATGACAATAAGTACGAGAACTACGACATGAAGTATGACAATAAGTACGAGCCCTACGGCACGAAATATGACAATAAGTATGGCAATATGTATGGCAATAAGTATGACAACAAGTACGACAACGAGTACAAGAACTACGGCATGGAGTACAACAAGAAGTACAGCAACAAGTACAACAACTACGGCACGAAGTACGGCAATGAGTATGACAACAAGTACGACAACAAGTATGACAACGAGTACAAGTACGCCAACAGGTACGACAAGAACTACGACAATAAGTACGAGAACTATGGCATGAAGTACGACAATAAGTACGGCAATCAGTATGACAATAAGTACGACGAGAACTACGGCGCTAACTACGGCCATAATTTCGGCAATTATTAGGACAATAAGCACGACAATAAGCATGAGAATAAGTAAGAGAAGACGTATGGCAAGAAGTACGGTGAGAAGTACGATGAGAAATACGACAAGAAGCAGTAGGATCTATATGATAACAAGAGGTGTGAAGGAAAGAAGTACTGCAACAAATATGCTGAGATGAATTATGTTTAGAAGTTTAAAGTATCATGACAATAAGTGCGAGGATTCCATGTGGTGAGACGGATGACACGAAGAAGAAAAATGAATATGGTGACAAGGAGTACAACAAGAAGTACGCAGCTCGACCCCCCGGTGCCCCCTACAAAGCCGCAGCGGTTGTGCGGTGACCCCCAAAACTATATTCAAAGTCCGGCCTTGGTACTGGCAAAAGTCTCAGAAGTCAGTAGGAGTACATAGCCGAAGCTATTTCACTCAGTTAATCCCCGGGGGCATCCTGGGCAATCAATGCTGGTGGAAACTTGACCTCACTTGATCTCACTTGTAATCATTATCTGTAAAGGGGACGCTGGACCCGGTTTCCAGCAGGTGTAGCTCCCCACCAATAGATGGAGCAGCCAGCAGGGCATATTAGGGTGGGCTGCTCATATCACCCCCCCTAGTAGGGACCACAGGCTTTTCACAAAAAAAAAAAAAAAAAAAAAAAAAAAAAAAAAAAAAAAAAAAAAAAAAAAAAAAAAAAAAAAAAAAAAAAAAAAAAAAAGATGACAAGAAGTACAACATGAAGTATGATGAGAACTTTCAGAGGAAGTATGACGCACATACCGACATAAAGTGTGATCAGAAGTATGACAGGAAGTATGGTGAGAAGTCCAATAAGTACAATGCGAAGTACGACGGCAACTCGAACATAAATACGATGACAACATTGATAAGTACGAAAAAAAAAAAAAGCAGTATGGCAAGTATGCATGAAGGAGTTCAACAAGAAATACAATGACAAGACTTACAGCAAGAAATATGATGTTAAAAGTTAAAAGGGGTACAAGAAAAAGTACGAGAAGTGCAGTGGCAAGAAGAAACACGACCCACACACCCAGTCCGGCGAGAAGAAACACGACTAAACGAAGTATGATGATGAGAACTAAGGGTGAGATCCCACTGGCAAAAACTATTGTAATAAGTGTCTGAATCTGGACGTGTTTGTGGAGAGGTGCAGAAAACTGGATGAGAACTAAGGGCGAGATCCCACTGGCAAAACGATTGGAATGAGTGTCCGAATCTAGACGTTTTGTTTTGTTTTTTTTTGGGAACATACTCCAATTTNNNNTTTTTTTGAAACAAATGCTCCAGTCTATTCGTGGGGAGCAGCACGTGCTGGGAACCGGGCCCAGCATCCCATATCGAATTATACAGATCATTGAGAACATTTGAGGTCTTTTGAGGTCATTTGAGATACAGGGGCCTTTACCCGGCTTCGGCTGAGAACAAACTGTGAAACAGAGTCCTACGAACGCTCACTACTCTCAGGCTCCCTGACAAACCCTTCTAAGACTTCCCAACACCGTCTTACTCCCTGCTGAGTTCTTCCAGGCCTCATGCCCCCACCCTGCTGGGTTACAGGGCAACACAACTCGCCCCAGCTCCGACCAGCGTCATCCCAGCAGCAACCCTTGGTCGTCCCTTGGGATGCCCACCCCAAAGCATCCCCAGATCTCTCTACCACGCCTCACGCTCCTGCATCAGCAGGTTACAGGGCAACACCCCAGCACCGGCCAGCGTCGTTCTGGCATCGAACGGCCACAGATCATTGAGTATAACAGCATCAAAACTGCCTAAGATGGATTGCTAAGAAACCCCGAAGTCCTAAGACATTCATAAGAACAACTGACTTTTTTTCCATTCAGACTCTACCAAGTCAAAAGAATATGTGTGTCAATAAGTCTCCCCATCACGAATCGGATAGGTGAAACCTATTCAATCCCCCTACGACCACACCAGCATGGCTAATTTTAGCACAAACCGAAGCTCTTCCATGCCTCATGCTCCCATCAGGTTAGGTTACAGAGTTGCACCACATTGCTCCAGCACAGGCCAGCGTCGCTCCAGTTACGACCCCCGATGACCACTGGGACTGCCCCCGCAAACAGCCCCCAAGAGCTCTCTACCAGGCCTCACGCCCCCACTAAGCTAGGTCACAGAGTTGCGCCACCTGGCCCCGTCTCCGGCCAGCGTTGCTCCAGCATCGGTCTTCGAGGGCCACCGACTTTTTAACCACCCCTCGCAGGATCATAGATGGCTTGCCAGATAACACCTATTCCTACAACCTCCTCGAGAGGCAACCAAATGGAAAGCTATAGTAAACTGGATGATAGATTTCTTAGAGAGAAATCGCCCCTCCCTCACCTATTCCTACAACCTCCTCGAGAGGCAACCAAATGGAAAGCTATAGTAAACTGGATGATAGATTTCTTCGACAGAGATCGCCCCTCCCTCCCCCTCCCCCTTCCCCCTCAGCCCTATACTGCCTCCACCGAGGAGAGTCACTCACTCGCCCTCGGCCCCAATATAGGACCAATCCTCTCCCACCCTTTCCCCAGGAGCAAGGAGTTCCCACCTAAAGCATGCCCCCCCGCCCCTTGGCCATTTCCGCCTCCGCAGGGACTAATGGACCCACCCACAGTCCTTGCCCCAGAATAAGGCAACCCCCTACTCCGCCCCTACCCTCTTTGAGACATTCACCCCCCACCTTGCGATGCCCCTGCAGGATAGAGCTCCCCCCATCCCCTTCCCACCGTTCAGCCCTCCGGGAACAATCCGATCCAGCCGACTACAGTTATTGATGACACACTTACCAAAATATCATTCGCTTGAATTTTGTTGGATTTTGTTGGTGACGATGGACAGCACCCCGAAGACAAGAATAATGAGAATGATGGTGACAACCAACTCACCTGCTGATGCAGAGCAACATCTAATTGAAAGCAAGCTGATGATGATGATGATGATGATAATGATGATGATGATGATGATCATGATCATGAGGATGAAAATGGAAAGATGATGCTGATCTTATCAAAGAGC